GGCGCCAACAGAGCCGCCGCGTCCAGGGCCAAGGAAATTAACGATTCGCCAAGCCCCGCGAGCCCAACCTGAATCGGATCCTCAACCTCATCAAGATGAGCGGGATGTAACATCGTGGCGCGTCTCTCGGGCACCTTTTTGGCGTCCTCGGGCGAGGCAGTAGCGCCGGCGATGCTCTTTTCGAGCTGGACCCTCTGCCTCCCCAGGGATTGCAACTTAGCGCAGAAACGCTCCACGACTGCACTCCATTCGTGGCCCGATGGCCGGCTGCGATGGCAGGTGGCGGCTGACGTACTCGCGTCCCCTTGCCTGCTCGAACACCTCGAACGCTGGCAGGCCGATGTTGGCCGACTTGCGCAAGATGAGGAGCGGCGCTTCGGTGAAATCGCCACTGCCCACGCTCTGCTGCTGAAGCTGGGACTGCGTCGAACCTCAGCCACTGCTGGCGCCTCGACCTCATCGCGCAACTTGCTTTTGAGTTTCGCCTGGCCTCCTGGGGGGCTGCGGGCCCCGCCCCCGCCCCCGCCCCCCCCCTCCCCCTCCCCTTCCGCCCTGGTCACGAACCGCTGCTGCCTTGGCCGCTGAGAGGGCTATGGAGGCGGAAATTGCCCGCGTCAACGGCAGCGCACCCGATTGGCCCGGTTCCCATGGCGTCTGCGCTTGCAGCCCCTCGTTGGAAACTCGGGGCCCGCGCGTCGTCATGATCCATGTTCATGGGCTTGCTGTGGCCCAAGCGCGGGAGTGAAGATGGCTCACAGGTACGAGCGCCACTTCGAAGCACGTAGCTGCAACGCTCTCGAGTGTGAAATGACTGGGAAAATGAAATTAGCCTGACGAAAGACCCAACCATACGTAGTTGTGAATACCGCAATTGTGGATATATTCCTCGGTGGCGCCCCCGGGCCACGAAACGAGTGAGGGGTGTGCCGAAATGGGGGGGTGGAACCGCATGCGAGCGCAGCCACTGGGGCCTTCGGTGGAGCTCCCTATGGGGCCACGAAACGTGTGAGGGGTGTGCGAGAATGGGGGGTGAAACCGCATGCGAGCGCAGCCACTGGGGCGCTCGGTGGAGCTCCCTATGGAGCCACGAAGCGTGTGAGGGGTGTGCCAGAATGAGGGGTCGAACCGCATGCGGGCGCAGCCACTGGGGCCCTCGGTGCAGCTCCCTAAGGGGCCACGAAACGTGTGAGGGGTGTGCCAGAATGGGGGGTGGAACCGCATGCGGGCGCAGCCACTGGGGCCTTCGGTGGAGCTCCCTATGGGGCCACGAAACGTGTGAGGGGTGTGCCAGAATGGGGGGTGGAACCGCATGCGGGCGCAGCCACTGGGGCCTTCGGTGGAGCTCCCTATGGGGCCACGAAACGTGTGAGGGGTGTGCCAGAATGGGGGGTGGAACCGCATGCGGGCGCAGCCACTGGGGCCTTCGGTGGAGCTCCCTATGGGGCCACGAAACGTGTGAGGGGTGTGCCAGAATGGGGGGTGGAACCGCATGCGGGCGCAGCCACTGGGGCCTTCGGTGGAGCTCCCTATGGGGCCACGAAACGTGTGAGGGGTGTGCCAGAATGGGGGGTGGAACCGCATGCGGGCGCAGCCACTGGGGCCTTCGGTGGAGCTCCCTATGGGGCCACGAAACGTGTGAGGGGTGTGCCAGAATGGGGGGTGGAACCGCATGCGGGCGCAGCCACTGGGGCCTTCGGTGGAGCTCCCTATGGGGCCACGAAACGTGTGAGGGGTGTGCCAGAATGGGGGGTGGAACCGCATGCGGGCGCAGCCACTGGGGCCTTCGGTGGAGCTCCCTATGGGGCCACGAAACGTGTGAGGGGTGTGCTAGAATGGGGGGTGGAACCGCATGCGGGCGCAGCCACTGGGGCCTTCGGTGGCTCCCTATGGGGCCACGAAACGTGTGAGGGGTGTGCCAGAATGGGGGGTGGAACCGCATGCGGGCGCAGCCACTGGGGCCTTCGGTGGAGCTCCCTATGGGGCCACGAAACGTGTGAGGGGTGTGCCAGAATGGGGGGTGGAACCGCATGCGGGCGCAGCCACTGGGGCCTTCGGTGGAGCTCCCTATGGGGCCACGAAACGTGTGAGGGGTGTGCCAGAATGGGGGATGGAACCGCATGCGGGCGCAGCCACTGGGGCCTTCGGTGGAGTTCCCTACGGGGCCACGAAACGTGTGAGGGGTGTGCCAGAATGGGTGTGGGAGGGGGAGGAGGGGGGAGGAAGGGGAGGAGGAGGGAGGAGGAGGAGGAAGGAACGCGGGGCGACGTCTCTTCAAAACGAGGACCCAACACCACAGGATGGTTGTGAAAAAAACAAGGCCTGCTCAGAAGGCGGCGTGACTTCTCAGAAGCCCTCAGGCCTTCAGAGAAGTTTTCTGCGTCTTCGAGGCAAGCCTGTGAACAACTTCGCAGAAGGCGGGGGGACTTCCGAGCCTTCAGAGAAGGCCTTCTCCTTCTCACTTCCTCCCGTCGCCCGCCGCCGATAATAGGGAAGGACCGCGCGGACGACGCGGTCATCGTCGCCCCAACACGCCCACGCCGCCCCAGCAACCCAACACAACAGACATTGGAGGGGCTGGAGGGGCTGACAAAGAGGGGAGGGAGAACGCTGACGATGACGATGAGGGCGAAGGCGCGCCCACACGCGCGCTCTTGCCTCACTGCCCCGCGAAATACGCATGCACCAGGACTTACTGCACAAAGACGAAGCTTACGAAGACCATGCCAACACCGATGCCCCCGCCCTTGTACACATACACGTGTATGTACATATACATACATACAAACATGCATGCATACATACATATTGAGATCTGTGCATATACACGCTGCCTTGAAAGCCCGTTGTCGAACGTCGGTCCCACAACAAGCACGACTGCGAGTCGGCGGCTTCAGGAGTGCAGGCTCCAACACAGAAAGACTGGCCCATGAAGGAGTGCCACCGAGGGACCCGCAAAGCTCGATGATCCCGGGGCCACGGTCCCCGTAGTGGAGCACAGCGGAAAGCCCCGCGGCCCGGATGCAATTGCACAACAGGTGAACGCTGGCCCCAACTCTTGAGGGGTCCCGCGCCCGCACAGGTCACACGGGCTGCCGCCCTTATGCAACCAGCTTGCGGCTGGCATCCGCCCAGCCACCCGAAGCTCAGACAACGGCCTCCTGCGCGCACCCGCAAAACAGCCCCTCCACTACCTCCACGAGCTGCACGTCGCTGCCGTCAGGCCACACCTCAGCGCTACTTCCCCCGAATCCGCCTCACGGTGCCAACGCAGGTGCTTCCTGCAGCTTGCAGCGCTCTTGCCTTTCAGTTTGGCTTTTGATCCGGGCCCCGACTTCGAACCACGAAGCTTGAAGACCGAATCGGCATCCTGGCCGCCTCCACCGCCGACGGGTCCTCCACGTCCTGGTCGGCCCCTTGTCCGCAAGCTCAGCGCGAGCCGACCCACGAGCAGCGCGCCGCTGCCTCCAGGCCGCGCGTCACTGAGACCAACCCGAGCTAGCACTTCAGGGCCCCGTAAACCCGGACACGCTAAACCCGGACACCCAACATCCCTCGAAGTCGATTTTTCCAGACGGCGGCACGAACAAAATAAGGCACTGCAGCGCTTCCAGAATAAACCCAGACACAGGCCCTTAAAGTCGGCAGAAACCCCGCTAAACCCGGACACACACCCGAATCCTGCAGTGCAGCAGACAAACCATGCACGGGTGCTGAAACATGTATATTTGCAGGAAAAGGTGCCGTTTCCTTGGTTTTTCATGTCCTGGTGTATCTGTGTCCTGGTCTCTAGGGGCCTGAGCACTCCAGGTCCTCCTTGAGCCGGCCCTTTGCACTCCGGCGTGTCCTTCACCCCCGCTGGCCCACGCCCCCCTCGCCATCAATGAATCACACCGCGGCGTGGCGCGCACCCCAGCACAAGGCACGGGGGCCTTGATGCGAAAGGCCGTGGAACATGTCGGCCCAAGTGGGGAGGCATCACACTCGAGCGAACATTGCGACGGCAAGGAGATGGAGGACTTGGAGAAGGATGGCGAGGGGTTCGCTGCCCATTATGAGGAGGGGAAGGGAAGGGGGAGGAAGGAGGACGGGGGAGAGGAGGAGAGGAAGAGTATAGGAAGAGGGGGAGGAGGAGAGGAGGATTGATTCAGGAATCCGGGACCCTGACGTAGTCATATCAGCACACCAACACAGGCCAGCCTCACTTGCAAGCGGGCGGGAAAGAAGAGGTGGAAGAGGAGGGAAAAGAGGAAGGAGGAGGGAGGACAAGTAGAAGGAAGCAAGAGGGGGGGACGGCTCAAGGAGGCGGAGGGTGGGAGGTAAGGGGGGGGCGGAGGGAGAGAAGCAGCAGGAGCAGGAGGTCATCCTACCCTTCCTCCCTTTTCCTCCTCCTCATTCCCCCTTTCCCTCGCTCGCGAGGGCGTGTTTTAATCCTGCACAGGAGGGAGCGAAGACAAAGATGGGCAGATATGCCGATTCGGGCGGTGCAGGGAAGGGGAGGAGCCAGAGGAGCGACAATCCGGAGGGACGAGGGAGTGCTCCGAAGGCACTCCGTTCCGAATTTGGACGCCCGAAATGGGTATGGAAAGAATGGGTACAACGGCCAAGGACAAATGTTGTCCCAAACCAACAGCGGCCGCTGTCGGGCAGGCGGCCTTCTGTCTCGAATGGACACGGGCCGCGGCGGCGCGGACAGCGAGCCCTGCTCAGAATGGACAGGAACCGTTGCTGAGCACTGTTTGGGCGCCCGAGTTATCCGGGGTAACTCGGGTCCGGGGTAACGCGGGCTTGGATTCCCGAAAAAGGAACCCGAGTTAGCCCTGACCCGAGTTACCCCTGATGATGTGGGGCTCTGGACGCCCGAATGATCCGGGGTGACTCGGGTCCGGGGTAACTCGGGTTCGGATTCCTGAAAAACGAACCCGAGTTAACCCTGACCCGAGTTACCCCTGATGATTCGGGGCTCTGACATCTCGTTCGTGCAGGCCGACAGCGAGGCCCGCGGGTCCTTGCCGGCAGGCGCCCTCCGGACGGTCGCTCACGTCGATGATGCGGTGGTTCGTGTGCCAGCCTCCTCGCGCAGTGGCCAAGCCTTAAGTCGGGCTTGTCCCCCTACAGGGATATTTTCGACGAAAACTAAAGCATGCCCCAACGATGATCAAAACATGGTCCAGACATAGTCCAGGGACTATTGTTTGAGTATGTTTTGACCCTGTTGGGGTATTTTGGGGGTATTTTCAGGGGGGGCGTAAGGCCCGGGTACAGGGGACTCGGAAATCCCCGACGAGGTCGTCAACAAAAATGACGAGGCCGAGCCTGCATTTTGACGAGGCCTCCCGCTGCAAACGTCCCACGAAACTCCTGCTCGTCAAAATCCGAATCGCGGTCGTCAAAAAACGAGGGCGGACCCGAGTCCTGGCAAACCCTGGTCTTACGCTCCCCCGATATTTGTTAGTCTTCATCGGAAATCCCCCTGTAGGGGGACGGGCCCGACGTAAGCCAAAGCCGTCGGGGCCGAGGGCGGGAGACGCTCTCCGGCGGCCGTGGGCGGTCGGGGGGGCGCGCGGCGCCACGGGACGGAGGAGAGAGGGAGGAGAGTCAGGGGGCCCAAGGACACACAAAGACATACGCACAGAGAAAACTATTTCCCATGGTTTCCCCATGGCTTCCCCTGTTTTTGTATTTTTTTCCCCATCGAACTATCCCCCGATTCCCATAGTTTCCTTGGGGATCGACGATTGCTTGTGCCTGTGTGCTTGTCTCCCCTCCTGAGAGGTGGCGAGCAAGGAAGGGGGGGCAGCAGCTCGCACGACGCATAGCTCGAATGGGGGCCGGGGGGCGCACAGATCGGTGGAGACACGAGTTCCAGGATCCCCCAGAAATTCTCCCATAGGTACTCGGTCTTCATCTCTCCCCCCGCTTCCCAATATATGTCCTATATATGGTCCAGGGCTTGGGCCCCCCTCCCCCCCCAATGCTGGTGCCATTGGGCCCCACCCCACCCCGCGCGATGGTCCCCCCCGCCCCCCGCTGTGGGCGTGGCGTGGTGCTGCGCTGCGGTGCCCCCCTCCCCCCCCTGTGGATGTGGTGTGGTGCTGTGGTGGTTCAGAGGTGGGCGTGGCGTGGTGCTGCGCTGCGGTGCCCCCCTCCCCCCCCCCTGTGGATGTGGTGTGGTGCTGTGGTGGTTCAGAGGTCGTCGTCGTCGCCGTCGTCGTCGTCGTCGTCGTCGTCGCCGTCGTCGTCGTCGTCGTCGTGGTCGTCGTCGTCGTCGTCGTCATCGTCATCGTCGTCGTCGCCGTCGTCGTCGTCGTCATCGTCGTCATCGTCGTCGTCGCCGCCGCCAGCGTCGTCGCCGCCGCAGCCGTCGTCGTCGTCGTGGTCGTCGTCGTCGTCGTCGTCGGCGTCGCCGTCGTCGTCGTCGCCGTTGCCGTCGTCGTCGCCGTCGCCGTCGCCGTCGTCGTCGTCGCCGTCGCCGTCGTCGTCGTCGTCGTCGTCGTCGTCGTCGTCGTCGTCGTCGTCTCTGGGACCATGCCATCTGGGGGGGGGGGGCCCGAGGAATCCTGGGACCATACCATCTTTGGGGGGGGCGGGCCCGTGGGCCCAGAGCCTTTGAGGCCCCCATCTCCCGTGCGTCCAGGAGCTCCCCAACGGTCCACCAAGGCCCTCGCGCCCTCCAGATCGCCCTCCGTGGCCGCCAGGATGCCCGAAATGTAGGTCTAAGATGGAGGGTTCCAGCACGCCAGAGACACATCGAGAGCACCCTCGATGGCACCAAGGCGACCGAAGATGCCCTCAAGACGCTCCAAGAGGCCCTAAAGAGAACCACAAGAGGGCCTCGCGAGACAAAAAAACCGGAGGTTTCCCATTGCTGGCCATCGCTCGGACGTCCATTCCCTGTGCTTTTTTCGGTTTCGTGCGTGGATTTTTCGCCAGATGGTGGAGGATGCTCCTCGAAGGTCCTCGCCGAGAAAAAAATGCACACGTCCGAGCGATGCCAAGCATTGCTGTTTGAAAGGATGTCGCGTTCTCGCATGTTCGGCCCGGAAGGCCCCCCAGAGACCAGCCCGAGACGGCCTGGCAGGCCCCAAAGAAGGCTCGGAGAGGGCCCAAGATACGCCCCAAGACGGCCCAACATGCGGGCAATACTTCTGTCCATATCCACTGCAGTATGGAGCTTCGGGCTCCCTTCCCAAGAAACCCGAGGCGCACTGGATATGGATAATTTTGCCCCCTAGAGGCTCGATTTTTATCTATATCCAGTGCGCCTCGGCCTTGTTGCGCCGCTTCCAAAAAGTCCAAGAGGCACTGGATATGGACATGAATCTGGCCCGCACAACATAGCTTGAAAGAGTACACGTCGTTCATTTCTAATCGTGCTCAAGTCTAATTGTGCTCGTTGTTCACTGTTCCTGGCCCCCTAGTGGCCAGGAAGAGGCCCAGGATAGAACACTTAGCAATGAAAGTATCTTGGCCCCCCAACAAATCAGAGAGTTCTCGAAGAAGTAGAAATGAACAATGAGAACCCCGAGAGGGGCCTAAGAGAGGTCCGAGAGGGGACACTCGCAGGGACCTCCGGAGGCCTCCCTCACAAGATGCTCCCACTACCCCCAACATGCCCCCAAGAGGCCCTCAAGAAGCCCCCATAAGGCCCCAAGAAGCCCCCAGGAACCCTCAAGAGGATCCGACGAGACCCCCAAGAAGCTCCACAAAAAGCGCGGAGGAAGAGGAGGACGAATCCGCAACAACTACACGCAGGCAGCACGACGGCAAGCGAGAAACAACGCAGATGGCATCGGAACTAGCACGTCTTCTTTTCTGGCGGCCGCCGCAAGTGCATCAGCCTCTGGAATAACCGGGCTGCTCCCCCTGTCCGAGGAGAGACCAACTGCCTCTGGCTGGCCGCGTCCACTGTCGCGACCCTGGGAAACGTAGATCCTGGCAGGTGGCAACTGCGCAGAAGCTCCCGCCTTACATCTATAGATAAGGCCCGCGCCTTCTAAGAAGCAGGGGTGCTTCTAAGCAGCCCTCCCCCCTCCCCCCACCCCCCTCTGCGCGTGGCTGAGTGGGACACAGCGCGACAAAAAAGGAGGGCCTCGAGATGGCTCCCTCAAAGCAACTTCACAGCCAGCTGCTCAGGTCTGGAGCAGGGCACCGAGCTGCGCTTCCGTGGGCGTTAGCCAATTCAGAAGTACTGGTCAAAATGCCTTGTTGCGAGTCGTCCAATCACCTCCCAGCGTCAGTCGTAAAGCCCGCGAATGCACGAAGCGCCCCAGAAGTTCGCGCAGGGCGGCGACTTAGCAGGACACCGAGGCTGCGAAGCGCAGCATGCCTTCCGGAGGGCGTACATTGAAACGTCGCCTCCGGGGAATGAGGGAAGCCCCCATTCAAAAACTCAGCGGCAGCAGAACACTGCTGCGACAGCTGACGCCCCGAGCACCCCATCTGGCGATGGCGGGGCCCCGGGGCTGCACGCAGACGGCCCCCCGAGGCAGCCCCGGCGGGACCCGGAGCTGCCCCCCCAGCAGCCCAGGGGCGGTCTCCACACCCTGGCGCCGCCTCCAGCGGCGACCTCGGGGCGCTCTGCGCCCCACTGGCCATCGCACGGACGCCCGTTTCCTGTGTGTTGGTTTCGGTTTCGTGCGTGGTTTTCCGCCACATGATCAGGGATGCTCCTCGATGCTCCTCGCCGAGAAAAAAATGCACACGTCCGAGCGATGCCAGGCCCAGGGCTGATGTGTGACAGTAGGAGCGCCCAAGAGATGGACTCGTTCGCCGCTCGTGACCTACATGTACCATACAGGGCGACGCCAGAGCGTCGCCGCCAGCGGAGCAAAACCCGCCGCGCAGAACTGCACGACCGCACCTCACGCCGCTGTAGATGACAGCCTCTCGTGCTGCTCCCGCATTGCGGAACTCGCGAAAGCGGGACAAATATGCACAAAATCAGAATCACGGAGCGGCCCGTCGATTTAAACGGTGCGCGCGCCGCGATCGATGCCTGGAGCAGGCGGAGCCGGACTACCAACGCCAGCGCCTTTCGGCCGAACGCTGGGCGCCCGGGCGGCCTCCGAGGCCACGAGGTGTGAGCGTGTGGATGTGTTGGACATATCCCCCGAGACCCAATCGGCCAATGATATCTCCACACAAAAGCTGAAATCCAAAGCGCCAAGGGCTCCCGTGCTCGCATCTGGGCCAGCTCAGGCCGTCAGCTGATGCCCACGGGCCTCGTACAAGCCGACCAGGTGTCCTTTCCTGGCACGCCGGGCGAGCTGCAAGCTTGAATGATGTCCTCTGCCAGGGTCGCCCGGGCACGCCTCTGGATCCGCGCCCGCAATCAGCAGCGCTGTGGCCACGCCGAGCTCGAACTGTTCCGCCCACCCATCGAAGCCAAGGAGCCCCCGCATGTCGTTGATACGGGCATCTGTGATGTTGGCCTCTACCCCTGAGCTCAGAAGCTGGAGCGGCGACTGCCCAACGTTGTCCGTCACATCGACCTTCGCACCGTGCTCGGTCAGAAGCCTGATGATCTCCTCGCTACACCCCAGGCGGAGCGCAGCGCAGAGCGGCCACTCGAAGCGGCGCTCCCAGAACGGCGACCTGGCCGCCTCTGGGTCTGCCGAGAGGGCTAAGCGCACGCGCCTCGGGCAGTTCCGCTCCAGGCCCAGCAAGAGGGGCTCCGCCCCCGGGCGTCGCAGCGGCGGCGGCGTGGTTGGGGCTGCGGTGGCAGGCCGCGGTGAGCTGGGCGGCGTCGTCCAGGCTGCCTGCGGCTCCTGCCTCTGAGGAGCAGCCATGATCTCGCCCGAGCTCATCTCTCCAGAACGGCGGGCTGTAAGGTGGTGTCCGGAGGCCCAAACAGGGCGAGCCAGATCTTGAGCCCGAATGGCTACGGAGGAGAAGGAGGAGGAGGAGGCGGCGGAGAAGGGAGAAGGGGGGGGGCCCTCCCACCTGTTGTCCTCCTCGTCCTTCTCCGCCCCAGCCCCCTCCTCCTCTCCTCCTGCTCCTCCTCCTCCTCCTCCTCCTGCTCCTCCTCCTCCTCCTCCTCCTGCTACTGCTCCTTCTCCAGCTCCAGCT